GTTTAGGGTTTAGGGTTTCGGGTTTAGGGTTTAGGGTTTAGGGTTTAGGGTTTAGGGTTTAGGGTTTAGGGTTTAGGGTTTAGGGTTTCCCCCCATGAAACCCACTCCCATAAATTAAAGGTTAAAGGTTATAAATACCCCACAACGTTAAAGGTTACCTACTCGGCTACTAAGAATAAGGCCCTTGAGGTTGTGCTGAGCCTTCCATGAACCCTGCAAGGGCTCAGGGCTTATAATCCATAAGCCTAGCTAACAGCTAACAGGATTTTCGTGGTTTAGGGTATAGGATTTGGGTTTAGGGTGTAGGGCTTAGGGTTTAGGGTTGAGGTATATGATACCAAAACTTAAATTAAGGTTCATTTGGTCCCCAAGGTGAGTGTAAACTGCAAGCAAAGGGTTTTGCATCCCCGCGGGCGCCTTCATCCTCGTAGATCACCGAGTGCTTGCCTCATCAGGGGAAGTTTCCGTCAACTTTGGCCCCACAAATCCCATGAGCCGGGTTCAGGGTTTAGAGGGTGGAGGGTAGAGGGCTTAGGGTTGGGATTCTCGGACGTGGAGGTCCTGGGCATTACTGTAGGTTTAGGGCTTTAAAACCCCGAAACCACCTTAAAACCCCGAAATCAAACATAACCAAACCCCAAAGGACTTGGGGGCTCAGGTCTTCTTGGCAGCCTTAAACCCACTACTTCCCGGCACTGCTCGGCGACCGCACTCACCCAAATCTCCGACAGTTCGGGGTAGGAGGTCACCAGGAAGTCGCCTCTGCCATGTTGGGCAAGACTCACTTGGGGCGGGGGGGGGGGGGGGTTTTCCGAAATTCGGGGGTACCTTGTTGGGGGTCCGCCTATTATAAGGGAAGCCAGATTCTGGAGAGCTATATTGGGGGTCCTCTATAGTTTCGTAAACCCTTGCTGACCCAAGCAACCCCCAAAACAAAGGCTTCCATATGCTGGGTCAACAAATAACCTTGAGCCTTCACATAAACCTACCTGGCTACCTAAATGCATACACCCTAGCCCCCAAAAGCCTCAACCCCCAAAAGGGGGGGGGGGGGGGGGAGCACAAACTACCGAGTGGCAGGGCTAAGTGTAAGCAAAGGGGCAAGCATACCTTAGGGTTTTGGGCTTAGGGGCCAGATTGCCAAGTGCAGAGTCAGCCACGAGCAGCCCTCCCCACCCCAAGTTTCAGCTCGGCTGAACATGGGGGAGGGGGGGGGGGCTTACGAAAATAGCGGACCCCCAAGAGAGATCCCCAAATAGTAGGGTTAGGGTTTAGGGGTGATATTCATAATGAGGACCCCAATCAGGTACCTCCTAATTTCTGAAACCCCTAGATGGAGCTCGAGGTTTGGGGCGGCAGGAAGCGCGTGGCTTCAGGGCTTAGTGATTCGGACTTCAGGCTTAGGGCGGTTCACGCGTAGTTCTGCGCCATAACTGGGCTCATATGCACAGTACTTCAGCGCCTGAAGTAGGGACTACCTTGTTAGTAGCCCCTCTAAGCTCAAAATCCTAAACCGATGAACCCTTTCCTTCCACACCCTGCCCAGGCCTGCTTTGAGAGACACCGGTGTGCTGCTGAACGCCACCTGGCCCCAAACCCGAAACCCGAAACCCGAAACCCTGAACCCTGAACCCTGAACCCTAAACCTAAACCCTAAACCCCAACCAGGTTGCAGGAAGCCCAGGATTCAACGGGGTCAGGGATTTGGGGTGTAAGGTTTGGGGGTTCAGGGGTTCCAGGCTCAAATAAGCCCCCCCAAAAACCAAACCACGTACGAGTTGGCTCTGTCTTGGGTTCCAGGCTCAAATAAGCCCTCCAAAAACCAAACCACGTATGAATTGGCTCTGTCTTTCCACATTCGCAGGCAAATTGCACGTCGCTTGCCTTTCCGGAGCCCTCCCCCGGGTTTGGAGTTTGCCCCGCGAAGCCCCAAAAAAGCCTTCCAGGAGCCCCCTCCCCTCCCCCCCCCCGGCTCAAGTAAGCCCCCGAAACCCAAACGACGAAGGATTTGGGTCTCTCTTTCCACATTCGCAACCTTGGTAGGCCAGTAGATATATTTCAATAAGGGCACCCTTTTTTGGGTTGGTTACTTTATAAGGGGAACCCCGAACCAAAAGAGAGGGTAAAGGGTACCACTGGGCTACCAAGCAACCAAACTGCATGTCCAAGCAAAGCCGGACACAGGAAAAGGCAGCCTCGAAGCGGCCAGAGGGTACGAAGTCCATGTCCTTCTCAGCCACCTCGTGGGGCTTAGGGTTTCGGGTTTAGGGTTTAGAGTTTAGGGTTTAGGGTTTAGGGTTTAGGGTTTAGAGAGTTGGTCTTGGTGCCCTCGACCTCGGAATACTGAGAATGGGTTCAACAGGGTTCTCGTGTTGGCCTTATAAGGCTCCAAGATCTTATCTAAGGTTTCTTTGAGCCCAAAGCCCTTACTATGAAAGGTTTGTTGGCCTACATGACCAGGAATAAAGCTTCAACCCTCAACCCTCAACCCTCAACCCTAGCAAGGTCTCATGAAGGCCACAAGCCAGAACGCAGCGCGCCAAAACTCTGTCCCCAAAGCAGCGAAGCGCCCTTTCTATGTTCAGGGTTCAGAGATCAGGGGGCTTAGGGTTTAGGGTTTAGGGTTTAGGGTTTAGGGTTAGGGTTAAGGGTTCAGGGCTCAGGGTTCAGGGCTCATCAAGGCTCAGGGTTCAGGAACCCTAAACCCTAAACCCTAAACCCTAAACCCTAAACCCTAAACCCTAAACCCTAAAGGGTTAAGGTTGCCCTGTAGACTCGAGACCGTTCCCAAGCCCACCTGGTACAAAAGCAGATCGCCTTTTCGCCGGTAGTACTTGAAGTTCCGGTGCCGGAGCCTCTAAACCCTAAACCCGAAACCCTAAACCGAAACCCTAAACCCTAAACCCTAAACCCTAAATTTAAACCCTAAACCCTAACCCCTAACCCCTAAACCCTAAACCCTAAACCCTAAACCCTAAACCCTAAACCCTAAACCCTAAACCTGAACCCTCAACCTTATCTGAGCATCCTGTTGAACCCTACATGAGTCCAGTAGCAGCTATGTAGTGTTTAGGGTTTAGGGTTTAGGGATGAAATAGGGCTTAGAGTTTAGGGTTCAGGGTTTAGGGATTGAATAGGCTTAAGAGATTAGGGTGTAGGTTCCCGTATCTACTCTATGAGGCGGGGTGTTCCTTGTTGTTTCTGAAGAGGAGGGCTCCCTTGAACATTTTGGTGAATGTAGAAATGGGGGGAGGGTGTCCTGTAGGGGTTCAAGTAGCAAATCCCGAAATCCCGCTCCCCACCTGAACTCCAACTGCTTCTACCCATGACATTCCCTGCGAAGGAGTTTAGGCGCGATGAGTTCGGGGACTAGCCCTAAACCCCGAAGAGTTCGGGGACTAGCCCTAAACCCTAAACCCTAAACCCTAAACCCTAAACCCTAAACCCTAAACCCTAAACCCTAAACCCTAAACCCGAAACCCCATTCCTCGGGCCAAGATACTGATCAAAGCTAGGACCAGCTTCCATGATGTCCAGGCCTTGCACGTCGAATCTGGGAGTTTAGGGTCTAGGGTCTAGGGTCTAGGGTCTAGGGTTTAGGGTTTAGGGTTTAGGGTTTAGGGTTTAGGGTTTAGGGTTTAGGGTTTAGGGTTTAGGGTTTAGGGTGAGGATTTACGATTCCTGGGGGTCGTTGGTGATATTCGGGGCCCCCCTGAACTAGATTCCGCGTCGAAGTGAGTGGCCTCCTCATCGACGGAAGTGCCCTGAAAACTCTGTAACCTCAACCCTAACCTGTAGACCCTGGGCCCTAAACCCTAAACCCTAAACCCTAAACCCTAAACCCTAAACCCTAAACCCTAAACCCTAAACCCTAAACCCCCTGATTGATCCGGAAGAGGACTGGAAGGATATTCTCCTGCTGACTCGGTTTGTTCTGAAAGGTGAATGGCATGGTCGTGTCCCAGCTAAGTCTCATGAGCTCCTGTTCGTGTCGCATAAGTCGAATCATCTCGCGCGTTCATGTCTGGTCCCAAGCGTTGTCTTCCTCGTCCCAGACTTCCTGGAAGCGATACTGCGTCGCATTGCCCTTGCCCTTGCCCTTGGTGGGTTTCTTGCGCTTGCCACTGGGGCCCTGGGTCCTCAGTCCCCTCCACCAACCCAGATGCCTGGTTCAGCGATGGGAGTATCTCCCCATACATCGCCCGCAACTCGTCCATCGGGGATGGGAATACCCAACAGGGTCTAGGATGCATGTTCACCTAAGATGCAGCTACTGCTCCTTCATGAAGGGGTGTTGCAGTTTCTGGCTCACAGCTGCTTGTAACTTCTGCGTGCTCTCTTCGCAAGGTCCACGGCATTATCTCGGACATGTAAGAAGAAGGGACGACCTTCTTGCCCAAACTTTTCAGCCCTAAGCCGGACTTGTGCAGGATCATGGGACCCTGCCTCGGACCCTAGGTTTGTACCCTTGGGTTTGGGGAGTCTTACAAAGATCCTCCCAGGGAATATAAGTGTCACGTTAGGAACATGTTAAGGGAAACTCTTGCGGGTATATCCTTAGGGGTCCGAGTTTAGCTCCCTTGATAGGAGCGGTGCCAGAAGACAAAGTCCTAAAACCCTATGCCTTGTTGAGCTTGTTGCTGTGCCAGAGGCTTGTCGTTGGCTCTCTCAGGTCGCCGTTTTGGTGCAGGCAATACGGTTTTTGGGCGTCGGATTTCCCCCTGTATTCTGACAGAAAGCGGAAGACAACCTCATGTTAAAGCACTCGTTCCTGCCCGTCAAGGTGTATAGGGTTTCTTGGCTGCAGGACTTCAGTGGAACAAGATAAACCCCCCTCCCCCTCCCCCCCGGCCCTTGCCCCTCCCAATGTTGGATAAAAACTCGGGCGGATCAGGATGGCGGGCTTAGGTAACAGTAAGCTGATGCGCAAAGCAAAAGACTTGCGGACCCCTGAATTGAGGAACGTTGTAGATTCCAAACTCTTAACACATAGTCCTTTCCTAAGGTGCATTTACCCTGCTGGCAAGCAGTAGGCCTGCCGTATCGTAGTTCTTCGCGAACTTGTCCTTGAGAGCAGTTGCTGCGTGTCCGGGGTTTAGGACCTACAGGGCTTATGGGGCTTACAAGGTTCATCGGGTTTAGGGCCTTTACGTGAATGCTGCTCAGGATTAATGATCGCCGGCAACCCTAAACCCACACACTAAACTTCCATCCTAAATTGGGATGTTTCGTTTTTCCTAACAGACAGCTTCTTGGGATTGTAACCTATTAAGGATAAGGGGGAACATCCCAAATTCTGAATCTCAGCTCGTCAGGGGACGGGGCAAAGTTAATTTGACCGTCGCGAGGTGCAGCGGTCAACACAAGGGACTCCGAAACAAACCGATGCTCCTTCACAGGCCCTGTAGACACCACAGAGCACATCACATGGTAGTTTCGTTTGTTTGCACATATAGGTACATACATGTATATATATATATATATACATGTAACTTTGTACTTTTACTGGCAATTCCACCGAATCCCAACATAGTTTCCTCACCTCGGACCTGTAGATGAGCCCCCAGGCAACCCCCAACACTATGAGCAAAATGTAGGTTACCTTTGGGGTTTAGGGTTGGGATGTTCCCCTAAGACTAACAGTCCTTAATAGGGATTCTAGTACCCCCGATTCTAATCCCTATTAAGGACTGTTAGCATAAGGGGGAACATCCCAAGTTTAGGGTCCAACTAGGGCTTCGGCTCCTTCATTCCCTGCCAACAATAAGTCATGGTCGAGGGGCAGGGTCCAGCAGGTAGAACTCGTGGTCAGCAGACTCCTCCGCATTTCTGGGATGTAGTTGCTGTGTGTTCTCTCTAAACCCTAAACCCTGAACCCTAAACCCTTCCGATCCCGCGTGGCTTGGGCTCTCCGCAAGACTTCAAGGTCCCCCCAGAAAGAACACTCCGGCAGATGGGTTTAGGGTTTACGAATTAGGATTGAACACGTTCAAATTCTTATGGAAAATCTTGGGCGTATCATCGGGGTGGGTCCCAAGATATATACCCATCTGGGTAGCCCATCGTACCCCCCCGAACCCTCAGACAAAACTGGGGAGGCTCAACCCAATACCCTAAACCCTAAACCCTGAACCCTGAACCTAAACCCTAAACCCTAAACCTTCCTAAGATTTCGAAGAACTCCAGCATCCTGGCGAATGACCATGCTCCCAGGCACATCGGCTCGAGTCCTCTCGCCCGCATATGGGAGGGGGGGTGGGGGGGGTTAGGGTTTAGGGTTTAGGGTTTAGGGTCCAGGGTCTAGGGTCTAGGGTCTAGGGTCTAGGGTCTAGGGTTTAGGGTCAGGGTTTAGGGTTTAGGGGCGCTAACCCTAAACCCTCAACGCCACTCGATAAGAAGTAGACCAAAAAGGTTCCGTTCAGACGCCCCGTCCATCCCCGAATCGCGTCCTTGACACAGAAAGCCTTTAATCCCCTACCCCCGAGTACAAAACCCCCCTCAACCCCCTATGAACTACCCCAACATGTACCATGGTATAACTATGCTGGGAGTATTTCATATTAGTGGGGAGGGGGGGGGGGACACAACTCAGGTTTTTAAGGTACAGGGCGCCAGGGCCTCCCAGGGTCTGAGGGCGTCAGGGCCTGAGGGTGTTAGGGTCTTCATGGCTGAAGCCCTGAAGGGCTGTGGGATTTTGGGGTTTAGGGGTTTTAGGGGAAACTGGTACCTTACGGAAAGGGCCGAAAGGGTCTAGGGTTTGGGATTTAGGGCTTAGGGTTTAGTGGCTATACCTACAACCTGTTTCACAAGCATGGCCCCCTTTGGGTATAACCTAGATTGATGGAGACTTTCGGGATGCTAGAAGAATCTACACCCCGGGACCACCTTGTCAGGACCTCCCCATTGACAATGGTCAGGACTTCCTCGCCAGGTCTTGCAGGCCTCGCGCGGCTTAAAAGTCCCCTGGTTCTTAGCAGGGAAAGAGGGAATGGGGGCCCTTTAGTTAAGGGAATGAGGGACTGAATTTAGGGCCCTAGATATACCATTCAAGAGAGTCTATGGGGGTACCTCATTCCCTCACTCCCGACTAAGAACCAGCCCAGGAGATTTCCTTGCAGGTTCATGGGTCGTTACAGGCAGGGCAGCAATCACAATGGCTGCTTCTGATCACGTCTCGGGTTCCTGTAACCTTACCTTAGTTGTCCAGTATCCTTGGGGAACTAAAGGTTAATCTTTGGGGATGAGAAACCATAGCTATTTGCCTACGTTCTAGCAGCAAAACATCCCGATTTCGAAGGAAGAGCCCCTGAAGCTGGAAAGTAAGGAGGGTTGAGGGTTTAGGGTTTAGGGTTTAGGGTTGGGTTCCCAGGTAGACGGGTTGGAGGGCGAAACCATGGCCTCGCCAGCCGCAAGCCCTTCTTGGTGATGCGGATGCCTTTCTCCTTCAAAATGGGAATGAAGTGCCTGGGCAAGCCATGGTGGCTTCTCTAAGTTGTGGTCCCTTTTTTGGGGCCCTTATGGGCCCTCTGCTTTAGGAACCCTAAACCCCTAAACCCTAACCCTAAGCCCAAAACCCCAAAAGGATGCCATTCTCCTTCAAACTGGGAATGAAGTGCCTGGACACTGGATCGGCTTTGAGTTTTTGAAGGAGGAGTCTGAGAAATATTCAACATACCCCCTTGGGCATACCCTTAACCCTACTTTGGGGTAGGCCCTGGAAAAATAGTATATACTTTTTAGGTATAAGTAGGTATAATAGGAACCCACAACCAACAAAGTATTAAAGTATAGTACTCCAAAGCCCAGTTAAAAGACATTAGAGGGGGGGTATGTGTACGCTCACCTCGTAACCCCGTTCTCATTCAATCCCGAAAACTCCAGCCCCTACCCTGGGGTCACTGTTCGGGGTCTATTTTTTTTTTGGGGTTTAGGGTTTAGGGTTTTGGGGGGGGGGGGGGGGGGGGGGGGGGGTGCGGGTTCGCAACTGTAACCCCTTCCCTTTGGTTCGAGGATTTGAAGCTTGGGGTTTCAGGGTTTGCCAAGAGTAACGGCGTACCCTTAACGACAGGTAAAAACCTTGGCATTGGTTCTGACATGTGAAATATGCCCCTACCTACCCTAAGCCCTAAGCCCCAGGCCCCATACCCGTCTCTGTGCAGGAAGGTGGCTCGCACATCTGCTGCTGCGTGGGGGTCGCCATGCGAACGACAGGAGCCGATCAGCAAGGTTTCCTGCAGAGGAGGCTTCAAGGCAACCAATCCAGCCCCGCCATATAAACCCCAAACCCCAAACCCCAAACCCCAAACCCTAAACCCTAAACCCTAAACCCTAAACTTACCTGTCAAGCCAGCGTCTTGGGCTGATTCATCCAGAAACGGTTCCGGTTACAGGCAGACATGTGTGAGACCAAGAAAATCTCTCATGGGTATTTGCCAAGTAGGGTTCAGGGTTTAGGGTTTAGGGTTTAGGGATTAGGGTTTAGGGTTTGGGCTTCTGCACCACCATGGCACTAAATGTTCCTTATGATAGGACACACTAAGAAAGCATACCCTATTATCCTTCTAATCCCGGTTGGGGAATTCTGTCTGCAGGCATCTATGGACACCCAAGGGTGACACAGCGGCTATTCTCTGATCACAATCGCTTCCCTAAGCGGCGCCCAGAAGATCGGCACTTTTTCTGTCATAGGGCTCTCCAAACCTCTCCTAAATTTGGTGCACCGAAATACTTAATCCCTGTTCCCCTAGGAAGAAAAAGGATCCTTTGTGTTTGTATAAAAGAAAGCCCATATCCCAAAAAGTAAAAAGGATCCCTAACACTGACTTAGAATATTCTTGCTAGTCCAAGTCTTAGGTTTTTTGGGGGGTATACCCTTTTGAGGACCACATGATGCTAAGTCCGGCTTGTGAACACGAGCCTCACCGCGGCATCCAGTCGGCATGAGAAGCTCAACTGACTGCTAACTACATGGTGCCCTGCGTTCTGAGAGCTGTTGCCCTATGAGGGCTTAGGGCCTTGTGGTTGCATGAACTGACTGAACTCACTCCGCACAGCTCTTCTGCCTGTTGCTCACGCCCTAAATCCTAAACCCTAAGCCCTACGCCTCTAGGCCGGACCCTGTAACCCTAAACCCTAGCAGCGCAGGGCTCTCGTTGAGACGCCTGCGCCTTGCTAGACATGGTTTAGGGTTTGGAGAGTTTAGGGCTGGGGGTTTGGGCTTAGGGTTTGGAGAGTTTAGGGTTTCGGGCTCAGGTTTCTAGACTCCGGGGGAATTTGGGTTTCGGGGTTCGGGCTCAAGGACTGTTACGGCGTCAGGCCTTGCTACCGTAACAACTTGACTGCAAGTCGGTCTTCGACTCGTGTCCCCCCAAAGAAAATTGAAAGGAAAGGCGCGGCGGGTCGGCCGGGCGCTCTATCACAAGGGCAATCAGCCCCCAAAGAACCTAAACCCTCAATCCTAAACCCTAAACCCTAAACCCGACAAAAGGCCCCCCCCCCCCCCCCCCCCTGCGGGCCTTCGAGGAGTGCCTGAGCCTTGAAAATCGCATCCATACCCAAAATAAACGCCTGGCTAGGGTTTAGGGCTGGGGATTAGGGGTTTAGGGTTTAGCCCGGTTAAAATCCTTACCCGTTCCGGCTCGCTTTGGCACTTGGCAAAAACAAATCCAGTGCGTAGCTACCTTGTTCAGAAGCCCATCACACCCCCCCCCCCAAAAAAAAAAAAAAAGAAGCATGGAACACATATGGCGGCAGAGGAAAAGAAGCACAGAGAGCGTGTACCGCGTCTGTGGCCGCGGCACCGTGCGAAGCCGGGGGGGGGAAGGGTGGGACCTGTCGGATCTGCTGCTCCCGATTGAGGCCCCGTTCAAGCTTGGCGATCTGGACCTTTCAGGGGCTGGATGGGTTTAGGGTTTAGGGTTTAGGGTTTAGGGTTTAGGGTTTAGGGTTTAGGGTTTAGGGTTTAGGGTTTAGGGTTTAGGGTTTAGGGTTTAGGGTTTAGGGTTTAGGGTTTAGGGTTTAGGGTTTAGATACTTGATGTTTTAAAAACCCTCTGAGAAGTATGAAGAGTGGGCCAGACAAAGGGTTAACCTTTCAATTCTGGTAGGAGAATATATACCCCAATAGGTTTTAAGGTTCCGCATGGTTCCGCACTCGGCTACTGAGTGAGATGGGAAAGTTACAAGCATCCCGAAGCGCACGGTTGCCAAGGTTTAGCAGTATGTAGTCTCAGCTCGCGATTCCAGAGGGTCACGTCCATGACAGTCGGAGGCTAGGGTTTAGGGTTTAGGGTTTAGGGTTTAGGGTTTGGGTTTAGGGTTTAGGGCTTAGGGTTTAGGGTTTACGGTTTAGGGTTTAGGGTTAGGGTTCAGGGGTTAGGGTTTAGGGTTTAGGGGCCAGGGTTCAGGGGTTAGGGTTTAGGGTTTTAGGGGTTCAAGGGTTTAGGGACCCTCGTGGTAGAGGTGGCTGAGTTACCGGTTTCTTCTGCAACCGAGGGTTCTGCGACATGGACTCTTTACGCCTGACCCCTTCCCACTTAAAGCCTCAACTCTAAACCCTAAACCGTAAACTCTAGCGCAACCTCCATCCCCCTTTCACTGGGTTGGTTTCCATTCCGAACTTATCTAGGCGACACCCGAAACCCTAGACCCTGCATCCTCAAAACCCTCTAATCCTCCAAACCCTATAAACCCTGTAGACCCAATGAACCCAATAAACCCTGTTCCTAAGGAAGTCGTATGCATGGACCTGGAACCTCAGGGCAAGAAAGCATTTGTTGTGCCTAGGTTTGGGGTTTAGGGCTTATAGGGCTTGGGGTTCCAAACCTCGAAATCCGAAACTCCACACGCATGCCTTCACGGGATCCAAGATCTCAGAGTACTGCTTCTGACGCTCCTTTTTCTCCTGGTCGGCAACTGTAGGATGGCAGACCCATACCCAACACCTAAACTAGATTTGCTGCAACCCCCCCCCCCCCTCCCCAAAGAAAAAAGCAAAAGTTCTTCCTTGTAAGGGCAATATAGGGATTATTGTCTCTTACTTTGTGGGGGTTCATAAGGAAATAGTAGAAAATCAATGCCCTGAGGCTTGGCGGGAGTCACCCTCGAAACAACAAAACATCACTTAATCTTCAGAACTCCATAGCTACCGCAACATAGACAGAGAAAGTTACATTCTACAACGGCGTCTATTCACTTCATTCTTTTTTTGTTGCATCAGGGTTTGGGGGTTGGAGTTTAAGGTTTCGCCTGTGTTTCTCTAACCGCCTAAACTCTACACCCGTCGGCGACACGTTCATTTACGCTGTGTTTCTCTAACCGCCTAAACTCTGCACTCGCCGGCGACACGTTCACTTACGCTGGTAACATGTATACCGCAACCTGACAAGCTCCTCAGGGCTCTCAGATGGACGCCCACCTGTTGTCGCGCAGGGGACCCTGCAGCTAAAAGGCGAGGTGGATTCAGCCAAATATCCTGATCATCAAGTCGCCGACCCTAAACCCTAAACCCTAAACCCTAAACCCTAAACCCTAAACCCTAAACCCTAAACCCTAAACCCTAAACCCTGAGAATGCGGCCATCCGAAGAAGCCAGCCTGAAACTCCCCGCCCCAAGGCATAACCAACAACGGACCCTTGGGGGGTCAAGGGTTTAGGGTGTCCTTCAAAAAAGGAGCTGTAGTTCCGAAATTGGGGTTTGGGGGTTTAGGGGTTTGCGGTTTCAGGTCTACTGTAGAGGTTTTGGGCCTCCTGAGCCCCAAAGCTACCACGCGTGCTCCTCCTCAATGGCATCTGCCAGTACGCGTCCGCGTGCTTCCAGCCTTGGCACGGGCACACATTTAGGGGTTTAGGGTTTAGGGTTCAGGGTTCAGGGTTTGGGAATCACTTCAACCCTGCCTAGAGTAGCCATGTACATAATCCCCCTGGTTCTGAGTCGGGAATGAGGGCATAGGGCCCTGTATATACCCTTTAATGAAGGGATTATGTAGGGTGCCTCATTCCCTCATTCCCTACTAAGAACCAGCCAGTAATTCATGTACATCTCCCTTTTAAAGGGCACAAAGGTTGCTCTAAGTGCGCTCATTTAGGGGCTTAGGGCTTCTTAGAGGTTTAGGGGTAGGGCTGACGAGGTCGTCGGGCTGGAAGAGGGCATTCCCTGAACTCTAAGCCTTGCAATTTAGGATTTAGGGTTTAGGGTTTGGGGTTTGGGGTGCTGGCAGGGCTAAATTGAGGGTTCTACCGAAATCCTGAAAGAGAAGAGCGCCCGAACCCTAAACCCTATAAACTCTAAACCCTATGCCACGCCCTGAATGCCGCAAGCACCGTCTAAGATACCCTACATGCGCCCCAGTGAATGAAGGTGCACTTGGGCCCTTATTGAGGGTTTAGGGATTAGGGGCGGCGCCGTGGACCCTGGATCCCAATAAGCCACCAAAGCCTATGGCCCAAACCCTAAGCCAAAACCCTAAACCGTCTACACCCTTAACCCAAACCCCAAACAACACAAAATCAAACACATAAGCACAAGTCCCAAAACTCCCTAATCCCTAAACCCTAAATCCTAAACCCTAAACCCCAAACCCTAAACCCTAAACCCTAAACCCTAAACCCTAAACCCTAAACCCTAAACCCTCCTAACAACAAAACACAGCGTTTAGGGGCCCCGCGCCGCAAGCCTAGGCTTCAGGAATTCGACCTGGTCCTGCAACTCACCTGGGTTCGGGTTTAGGGTTTAGGGTTTAGGGTTTAGGGTTTAGGGTTTAGGGTTTAGGGTTTAGGGTTTAGGGTTTAGGGTTTAGGGTTTAGGGTTTAGGGTTTAGGGTTTAGGGTTTAGGGTTTAGGGTTTAGGGTTTAGGGTTAGGTTTAGGGTTTAGGGTTTAGGGTTTAGGGTTTAGGGTTTAGGGTTTAGGGTTTAGGGTTTAGGGTTTAGGGTTTAGGGTTTAGGGTTTAGGGTTTAGGGTTTAGGGTTTAGGGTTTAGGGTTTAGGTCTAGGGCTTAGGATGTTCGCAGGGTTTTAAGGGTTTACGAGGTTCAGGGGTTTGGGTTGTGGGAGGTCTAGGATTCCGGGATGAGGGGTTAAGTGCGTAATATAAGGAAGGGCTTTAACGACCTTAAAAGGGCGGAGGGCTTTTATCAGGGGCTTTCGGGCTGGTGCTTTACTTCGTCAGATGCCGCAGCTACTAGACGGAAACCCTAAACCGTT